CGGTGATTCCGCCCAGGAGTCCTTCCCATTTATCAAGGAATTTCTCGAGCTGAGGTTCGCCAGACCCGGCAGCTCTGCCGAGGGATAGGCGAAGAAGTTCATTTGTGCGGATAGACTGACTCCCGACTTCATCAGGACGAAGGTACTCAATTAGACAGAATAGGATCTGGCGGCTTTTCAGCCTCGTTCCCCTTTTTACCTGAGCCTCTTCAGTCAGCCTGCTGATCTTGGCAACTATAGGTTTTGATGTGATGCACTTTCTCAGTGCAGCATTGAACCTATTGTCAAGGATCGGGTAGAGGCACTCGTCATCAAGTTCCTCTATTGTGCTGGCGTTCTCGACACTCATGACCCAAGACATGGCATGTGGCGAGTCATAGCTGAACGCGTTGCTCACGATTTCTCTCGTGGAAATGATCCAGTCTCGCAACTCGTGCGGTGCAGGCTCTTTCTCGAGCTCTATGTTGGCGCACTTGTTCGCCTCAGATGGCAACGAAGTTAAGGGCGGCCGAGTGGCCTGCCCAAAAACATGGGGAGGTAGAACGCCGTCTCTGCCAATGGATATGGCACAAAGAGAGCAACTCCCAGACGATGGTGGGCAGTATGCGGCACACAAAGAAGTGCGGCACAACGAACAAGTTTGGAAGCATGGAGGTGTCCCGGGGATGCTGGACTTGACATTGATGTTGCATCGAGGGCAGACCCTTTCTTCAGCAGAGGATCGGCGAATGTCGGGAGCTCCAATACCGCCGACGCCACCGGCGCCATGCACACCCTTACCGAGTCCTGGTGGAAGAGAGAAACCAGCTGTCCCGCCAGAGTTATCCTGTACTCCGTGATGATGCTGTGGATTCTGCTGATTTGTCGCAGCAGTGTCAGGCCCGTACCTTCCACGAATGACTCCCTGAGACGTTCCATGCTCAACCTGACCAGTGAAAATTCCCCCCGTAGGGGAACATCCGGGATACGTGTTGATGGTCCCCCTCGGAGCTGCTCGCCCGATTACGGGTGATGACATTGCCCTTGGCGGCATCGGCTCCGGCGGCTCCGGCGTGGGAACAGAAACCAGAGTTTCCTTGTTGCGGTTCAGGGCTCCGATGTGACGGATCTCCACGTGATGGCCCGGACCCAGGATCAGGAGCAGCGCCATCCCGCTGATTATGTTCAGGAATGCAACCAGGTCCTCCAGGTCCCGCACTGGGACCACGATGCTTAGTTTTCCCATCGGGGTCAGCTCTCAGGCAGCCTAGGCAAATAGGTCGAACATTTGACCCGAAACGGCGCACATCGTCAGGTGAAGCGATGTGCTGATCGCAGTACTCATCCCTGCATATGAGACACGTCACAAGTCCGTGTCTCCCCCCTCTTCCTCTGCATGCGCGGCATCTAGGATACTGATCGCTACACTTGAAACATGAGTTACAATCATGATCAAAGCAGTCTTCGCAGACTGACTTGCCGCAGCTTCGGCATGGATAGCGAGGTTCCCGATGCTGTGGATGCCCGGGCTCCTCATGAGCGCATCTGGCCCGGTTATCAGGGGCAGCGCCGGCAGCCCGAGCAACGGCCCTCGTTCTAGAGGGATCCCTGCCAAAGATGGGGGCGGATGGTGACGGTGGGGGTGGCCCTGAAGAAGGAGGAGGTGGAGGAGGTCTCGCCGAGCTGACGATGCGAGCATCGCGATGAGGAGAACCTCTAGGAGCCCTTCCCTGGGTTAAGGGATCCGTGTCTCCACGTCCCGGCGACCGAGGCAGCGCCAGCACTCGAAGATGCGCAGGCAGCAGGAGGTTGTTCCCTCAATTCGGCGATCTGCATGTTGATCTCATTGACCCTCAACACAAGCTTCATAAACTGCTCTTGCATGTCCCTCGGATAGGGGCCTAGGCTTTTATCATGAAGGTCCTTGACGCACCTAGCAATACGGGACAATTGAAGCTTGAACTCTTCCTGCTTCTGTGAGTTCTCGTTGAGGGCTCCGGACATCCTATCACTGAACTGCTTCAGGTCGGTCGCAGGAACGAGGTGCTGGATGTACGTCTCGACGTTCCCACGGATGGTTCTTTCCCTTGAGATGGTTCCCTCAATGTCAATGACACTGCGAGAGTTCGCCTCAACTTCGTCCTTGATTCTTCGAACTTCAGCCTCAAGGGCCCCGATCTCGGAGAACCTAAGGAGCTGGACCTTGAGGTTCTCAAGTGACTCGGCCCGCTCGCGAAGTTCAGCAGCAGATATGACGATCGAGTTGGACCTCTCATCATACATCTTGAAGCGCTCATTCATCTCCTTCTCGCTTCGGGCGACCCACTCGTGGAAATCACGGAACTTGGCCTCGTGTCTTGAGAGGGTTCCGGCGACGGCAGAGAAAGATGATTCAACCTTCTTCTCGAAGGCGTCAACACGGTTATTGATCTTCTTGATTTCACCGACGCAAGCGTTGATATCATCCCTGCATGAACGAATCTCAGTTCTGCACCCCTGGATTTCGGCCTTGCATCCCTTGACCTCGTTGTGGATCGCGAGAAGCAGTCGCTGAAGCTCAGGTGCAACCGGATGGCCGCCACTTGTGGATGCAGACGGGGCAGGATGACTATCAGCGTCATGAGCTCCGCGCCTATTTTCTTCCCTGTCAGGAGTGCAGCCCGGAGTTCCGATTTGAAAGAATGTAGGGATGAGAGAGTTGTCGACCGGTTGATTTGATGGAAGCCCTCCATTTCCAGGGGCAACAGTGCTAAGTCCAGGTCTCCGGTTCCTGGGCGTAGAGTTGATCCCGTCATCAGTCTCCTTCTCAGACATCGGGGCGTTGGAGCTGAGCGTCAACAGGGTCGTGATGAGCGGGGGGGTTAGATCGCAATCGGAGGGCAGCTTCACGTCTTTCGGGTGACTCAGAGCTCCTCTTAGTGGCTCGCGAGTCAGTGCCGGTTTGTCCCGACATGTTATCGAACGATGACGATCCGCGATGTTGAGCTTGATCTGGATCAGGCTGAGTGAGATCAAGCCGTTGAGCAACGTCATCATTGAATGGCTTAGGGGAAAGTACTTTGGCAACGCGGCTCGGCGGGAGCGATGTCGTTCGTCTCTCTGGTGTGACCTCGGCCTCATCGATTACATCGAGGATCCCAGGGATGGTTTCATCATCCTCATTTCCTCTCCTGGGTGGCTGATGGAATGGAATGTCGAGAAGGTCGAAGGGAGTAGACCCAATACCAGGTGTATCCTGTTCGGATCCATCACTGGTACGGTGGCTGGACTGCTCCTCGAGGTCGATGACGTCAGGGGCGAACTTTTTCGGAGCCTGACGCCGATTGAAGGCCGCGAAGAGGCCGGCGTGGCTTCTCGACGAAGTGGATGAAGGATTTGGGCCTGCTGTTTCGCGGCCCGCGTCTGATCGACGAGTACCTGATGCTTGGCTCGGCAGATTTGAGCCCGCGTTGTAGCGGCTCGCATCCCGATCTTGAGTACCTGAGGAGAGCGGTGGATTTGGACCAGCGTTGTAGCGGTCCGCATCCCGGTCACGGGCACCTGACAAGTGAGATGATACAGCATCTGGGATGAAGTCCATATCCGTCGGACTGAGATGATCGTGAACGATGTCGACATCAGATGAACCTGAAACGGGAGGAAGGCCAGCTATTTGCGGCCAATCCTCAATCGCTCGATCGCCCGCTTCGGGTTGGGCCGAACCTGCAACTTGAGAAGGGGAGAAATCTTCAATGGGGTCATTTTCTCCATCATGAGGAAAACCCTGAGTAGGCTCATGCGTAGGCAGGGCGTCGAAAGACCTGTTAATTCGGGAAGGTTGGGAGGGTTGAGATCTCCAATCAGCATCAAAAAGGGATTGAATATCCAGATTCCCAACCGAGATGGGGACACCCGAATCGAAGTCGAGTCGACCGAAATCAGGCGGTATGGCCTGCGATCCACTCCCGAGGAGCCGGTCAAACTGATCCCATGTAAGGGACCAAGATTGAGCCGGCTCCGGATGAGCAGCATGATGGGCAGTCCGGTCTTCGATCTGGAGCGCCACGAATGGAACAGTAGGCGAAATCGACGAGGGCACCTGATTTGGAGGAACCACAGCCTCTTCTAGAGGGGGTCCGTCCTCGATCTGGAGCACTGCCGCCGGGATAGGGGCCTCCGCATCCTCATCAAACACGACCTGAGAAAGGATCCAATCATCCGTGATCACCCCGGGATTGGGCTCTGCGCCCACCATCGGGGGAATGGGCCACAGCCGGCTGTCTAAGCCGGGGGCAGCATGCGCGGCGTTGCCGCGAAGGGCGTTGGCCTCGTCGTCCACGAAGCCTGGCCCACGATGTGAAGCTCCAGGTGACGCCATTGTACGTACACGTAGGCGAGGGAGCAGGTAGCGGGTCACGTCCCGCAACCGGATCACCAGCCCCAGCTTCTAGCTGGTACGGCTGATAACCTGCGGTTTTGGGCGAACACGAAGTAGCCCAGGGAATCAAAGAGGTACACGTGATCCACGAAGTACCAAAAGAACCCAGTCCCAACGCACAATGGTGAAGTTGCTGATGACCAGGTTGTGGGAGTGACAGTTGAAGAAGATCAAGTTTGGGAGGGTTGGAAAAACAGGTTACAACAGAAAGCGAAGTTCAGAACCAGGCCCAGGAAGTCCTCGACGACCAGCCACCCACCACCTAACACCGGCCGCGGCAGCACCAGGACCTTTTCCCGATGATGACGCAGGCCGCCGTGCTATGGCGGATGCACGCAAATCCGAGAGACCCCTGACGGGAGGTTTAAACTTGAGCCAAACGGCCATTCGGCCGATTCGCTTATGATAGAACAACACGTGAACGAAACACAAGTTGCAAATGACATGCCAAATGACAAGTTCAAGCATATGATGCCGGTTCGCATGAGCATGCCGGGTCTTAACTTCTTGACCAGGTCTTCACCGACTGCAACAAGAGAAAAGAGGTGACCGATTTGCATGCTGCTGCTGCATTGTTGCGCCTCTGGTGCGCTGAGCTCATGACATTGGATGTTGTGATGGGCTCCGCTGGGAGGTACCGCGAAGCTGGTCGGGAAGGTGGGGGAGACTGCGCATTTCGTGCCTGCAGCTCTGCTTTCAACCGGGCAAACTCTTGGGGATCCAAAAAGCCATTGCCATCTGCATCCAACGCATCGAACAAGTCCATCGCTGTCGCATCAGGCCGTTGGGCGGACTGCGCCGGCTGAGCCGACCTGGTGGCCGGAACAGGCTGCATTCCCTGCATTTCCCTGAGCTGCGTTGGCCGGGACGGCTGCATTGTCTGCACCATCTGCATTGTCTGCGCCGGCATTGCCTGCGCCGTTTGCATTGTCTGCGTCGGCTGCATTGTCTGCACCGACATTGCCTGCGCCATTTGCATCGGCTGCATTGTCTGCACCGACATTGCCTGCGCCATTTGCATCGTCTGCGCCGGCTGCATTGTCTGCACTGGCATTGCCGGCGCCATTTGCATTGTCTGCACCGGCTGCATTGTCTGCACAGGCATCGTCTGCGCCATTTGCATTGTCTGCACCGGCTGCATTGTCTGCAAAGGCTGCAGCGTCTGGCCTGTTTGCATTGTCTGCACCCGCTGCATTGGCTGAGCTTGCAAGGGCTGGTAAGTAGAGCCCGAAAACATTCTAGCAGGTGCTGCGGCTGGCATTTGCACCAGAGCTGGGTCTGCTGCGTACTTTTGGGCTTGAGCAGACTGCAAAGCTGGCGCCGCTTGTGACATTTGCCCATTTGCGGCCAGCGCTGCTTGGGATGCTGACGCTGCTGCAGTCGGCGATGTTGGGACAAATTGTGCCGGTGCCATGGCTTCTGTTTCAGAGTCTGGTAAAGCCGCAGCTTCTGCGTTTGTTCTCGGTGCTTCTCCTGCTCGAGCTGGCAGTACCGGAGTCGGTCTTGCTCCCTTGCGTCCAGGAATTCCAGGAATGGCCCCTGCAGAGGCAACAACGGGAGCTGGCATCGAATCGGATTCCGAATACTCCGAATACTCTGACGGCGCTACTGCCGTGGCAGCAGCCCGTTGTGAAAGCGGCGCTCCGGCAGTTGGGCTCTCCATTAGGGGTGCCTCTGCTTCCTCCAAATCACCTCTTTCAGCGGTGCGCAGGCTGCTTGCCTTCCTGCTTGTCTTCGTGGCTTCCTTCTGCTTCTTCCCACGCCTCAAGAGCGGTCAAACAGTGAAACTGTGAGACTAGACACCCTGCAAACAAGTGGTCTGCCAAGCCGCCCGAGCAGCATGAAGCAGCAGCAGCCCATGAGCAGCAGGGCAAGTAAAGCGGCCAAGATATACCAAAGAGTATGATCCTGCTTTTTTCCATCTGCGCTGTGGTCTCGGATGTCCTCAGAAAGCAGACCAGCCGAGCATGTGGAGCCCCATACCCGTTTGGAAGTGGTTCAGGCACAATGTTTCAGAAAACCAAGTACTGTTTGGGCTAGCTTCAGTGATCGGCACATCTTGGGCAGCTTTAGCTACCACCAAAGTCTCCTCGCCCGTGCCCGCTTTCTTCGCCTCGCCGAGGCATCGAAATGCACGAGGAGACACGCATGGGGAAGTCAAGGAGTCATTGCGTAGGCAAGTTTTGATCCGTGATCTGTGCTCAAGTCCAATGGATGTGCAACTACTTTGGTGCGCAAAGCTGAGAGGAGCCTTCCTTTCGCGTGCACGTTGGGGGCAAGTCGTGGCAAGCACTTCGAATCGAGACAACCGAGCTCCCAGTTCAGAGCACATACGCCGAGATCCGCAACAGGCCTTGATCGGCTCAGCCGTGGTGACGGCAAACTCCTTCCTGAGCGATCAGGACCCGCTGACGGCTTCTTATTTTCTCAAGATCAAGCAAGAAATACTGGACGCGGGCACTGCACAATTCCTGTTTCAGCCTATAATGCCTATTTAAGACGTCCTGACCCCTCCAATCGAGGCACGTCCTGACCCCTCCAATCGAGGCAAGCATCCAAGACTGAGCGTGGAAGGCTCCAGAAGCCAAGGCTTTCTCGGCAGCTTGTGTGCTCATTGCTGCGGCCTGGCCATTTGCACAAGGCGCCTAAGCCACATGCGACTCACCTAAGCCCGAGCATCCGGAGAATGCTCGGGCACCAGGCAAAACCCCCGCCTCCTCCTCGGAAAGGCCAGCAGCAATTCCCGCTTTCCTAAGAACATAGTGCAACAGTGCAACAGCCCGCAGAGAAACGAAACCAAATAGCAGAAAGATAAAAGGCGGCTCGACAGCCCCAAGTCCTATCCAAGCGGCATGCCTGCCTTCCTTGCTGCCTCCTCTTGACCTACAGCGTCCATGCCGCCAGTCTTTGCGGCCCTTCCAGCTGCAATGCAGGCTTCCTCCACTTGATGCTCCGGTGATTCGCCCTGGGCCTTGGCCACACGCGCCGCTTCTGCCCCAGCCTTCTCTGCATCCACCTCTGCGGGCGAGGCATGGTACTCGGCGCTTGCGGCCGCATGTGGGGCACCGCCCTCGGACCCTGGCAAGACCTTCAAAGCATCGGAATTGACGTTGCCTCCGGAGACTGCGTTGGCCGCAGCGGCGGCTACCTCTTCCGCATCAGACTTGGAGAGCCCTGCCTTCTCAGCAGCTGCCTCACCAGCCTTCTCTACATATTCGGCTTGCTGGGCCAGTGTGTCGCTGTTGCCCTCAGCTGCCTTGAAGGCGGCCTTGCCGGCAGCAAGAACCTGTTGATTGGGTGACTCCTTTTTTGCGGCCGCCTCATCAGCAGCAGCCATTCCGGCTGCGAAGGGATCTGGCGGGGCGGTGACTCCGATCTGAACTCCAGCACCTGCTACTGCCGCAGGCACGGCAGCTGAGGCAATCCCATTCAGTTGCTCCTGTGTTAGGCCCACATCTTTGGCATGAAGCGAAAGAGCACTCTGTACTTGTTTGGGTTGCTCGCTGGGGCTCAAGCCAGCTTCCGCAGCAGCCTGTTTGACTGCTTCTGCAACCGTTGCAGCCAGCTGCTGGCCGGACTCTCCCTTGGCACTGCTGGCAGCTGCGGCGGCCACGGCCACTGCCCCCATGGCAGCTGCGGTCTGCTGGCTGGGACTCTCCCCAGCGGCCTTGGAGGCGCGCGCGGCGCCCTCGCCAGCGATGCGGGCAGCCTCCTGGGTCGAGAGCTGCGCTTCAGCGGCGTATTCCCCGGCAGCCGCAGCCGCCGCCTGCGACTGCTCCGCGGAACTCATCCCAGCTGCAGCCCCGGCCTCCGCGGCAGAAAGGGCGATCGCTGCTACTTTCTCCTCCGGGGTCTGGTCGCCCATGGCCGCTTTGGCGGCCACCACTGCTTCCTTCACGGCCACTTGCTGCTGCTCCGTTGGGCTAGCATGCGCAGCCATGGCCGCCTGCTGAGCACCCGCTGCTGAAATCTGCGCCGCTGCTTCTGGGGAAAGGCCCTGAGCCTTCGCCGCATTGCCAATGGCAACAGCTGCCCTCTCTGATTGCTGCTCTGGTGTGAGGCCGGCGCTTGCCGCAGCCGCTGATGCTTCGGCACCAGCTGCGGCTAGCTGCTGAAAAGGCAGTGCTCTAGTGGAGTCTGCTGGCACGACACACTCGTGATGCCAGGTGGTAAAGGTAAGAGCTCCTTTGCATTCTGCGGGTGCGTTTTCACCCAAGTCTTGCCGGCAGCACGCGTTGCCACTCCCGCAAAAGGAGCACAGGCCAGACTTCTCGCCGCATTCATACCAGCAGTCCTTGCCAATGTTCTCCAGGGGCTGGCTTGAGGGAGGGGCTGCCTTTGCAGCAGAAGCTGCCGTTGCACCCGCGCTGGCCTCTGCTGGTGCTCCTGTTGCGGCAACTGCTGCCTTTGTGCCAGCATATGCTTGTTGGTTTGATTGCACTGATGCTGCATTTGCAGCTGCCGTTGCACCGGTGCCGGCCTCTGCTGGTGCTCCTCTTGCGGCCACTGCTGCCTTTGTGCCAGCATATGCTTGTTGGTTTGACTGCACTGATGCTGCATTTGCAGCTGCCGCTGCACCCGCGCCGGCCTCTGCTGGTGCTCCTGTTGTGGCCACTGCTGCCTTTGTGCCAGCATATGCTTGTTGGTGCGACTGCAACGGTGCCACACACTCGTGATGCCAGGTAGTGAAGGTAAGAGGTCCCTTGCATTCTGCGGGGGCGTTCTCGCCCAAGTCTTGCCGGCAGCACGCATTGCCAGTCCCGCAAAAGGAGCACAGGCCAGACTTCTCACCGCATTCATACCAGCAGTCCTTGCCGATGTTCTGCAGGGGATAGTTTGCAGGAGGAAGGGCGACATTTGCAGCAGCAGCTGCTGTTGCACCTATGCCGGCCGATGCTGTTGCACCCGCTGCGGCCACTGCTGCCTTTGCGTCAGCATTTGACTGCAACGGTGCCACACACTCGTGGTGCCAAGTGGTAAAGGTAAGAGGTCCCTTGCATTCTGCGGGCGCGTTCTCGCCCAAGTCTTGCCGGCAGCAGGCATTGCCAGTCCCGCAAAAGGAGCAAAAGCCCGACTCCTGACCGCATTCATACCAGCAGTCTTGGCCAATGTTCTGCAGGGGATGGCTTGCAGGAGGAGGGGCTGCATCTTGCTGCAGCGCCTGCTCAAGCATCTGTAGTGGCTTCACAACACATGTGGGCGCAAACCTGGTATTTAAAAGGTCGACAAGAAAGAAACATGACGTGGTGGTTGTTGTTCTAAATTCCTGTTTCGAAACGGCAACTTTTCGCAAAAAAGAAAAAAAGAAGCTACTTTCTCGCACCTTTCGCGGATTCATTGCTGCGTGTTGACTTTTCTTAGGGCCAGAAAGTCCCATCTTTTCAGTACAAATGTAGTATATTCGATTTGGGCTTCTGCAGCTCCGGCTGGAAAGTAGCAACTTTTCAGTGCGAAAATGGTCCACGGAATGCACTTTCGGAGCTCCTACGGAAAGTCGCAGTTGTTCTGCAAAAAGGCGAAATTCATTTCTGCCGCTTCAGCTGGCGAGTCGCAGCTTGTGGGTACAAAGGCATGCTTTAGGTGGCCCCTCCTCAGCTTCTGAGCCAGCCAATTTTTTTTGCACGGCAAGCACCATCCATGTCCCCACGCTTGTGCCCCTCCGCGACCCGACACGACCTCCCGCTGCAATTCGGCCCTGCGCTTCGGCGAGGGCGTTCGCTGATCTTTTGCAAAGCTTTCGCTGGAAACGCCCGCGATTCAAAGCGGAGTTGCTAAGAGCACACATGGAGCACTAACCCGCCAAGCCGAGAAATTCGAGAAATCAAACAGCGATAAGGGGTTTAGTTCGCGTGCTCCGTGGTGCTGCAAGCCAGCCCAGAAGCAAAGGGGCCAACGCCGCACAAACAGGGGGCGCGAGCAAATTGCTTTCCATGTGTGTGTGTGTGTGTGTATGTCACTGATTTACAAGATACAGTTACGCAAAACCTCCGCGAACAAGTGTTACTTCCGCAGCTCCGTCGCGAATCTTTCGCGGAGGTGTCTCAACCAACACCGATGGCCGTGGAACACCAAACTGTCACATGCAAAGAATCAAAAGGGCGAAGATCGGCACCTGCTTGCCGTTGGGCAGTGTCTAACATCACCTCAGGCATCCACTGCCCAATGCCAAGCCTCTTTCAGGTTCATGACATTCGCCGCGGCCGGCATGGGCAGCGCCACCGGGGACCCCATCGAACACCCTGACAGGGAAAAAAAAAAACCGAGGGCTCTTCTCACTTCCTGGGTGGACCGGCCAAAAAAAAATGCTTATTCACCACTAAGATTGTCTTCCCAACAAGTTTAAAGTCCAGGATCTCATGGAGTGAGTTGTGGGCACTCGTACTTCCTGTGCTGAACTCACCAATTTTGGTGTCCTCACCTTGAATTGAACATAAGGGAACTGTGACATGGCTCACCCTGTAACAAGTTTGCCGCTGTCCCCTTGAAAAGTGCTCCTAAACCCTGCCTGCCATAGACCTCTGCCCGGGGACGCTCTTGAAGGCATAGCCGTTTCCGTTCTGCACAAAGTCCAATGGCTCACCTAAGTGTTCTACCCACCCACGATCCAAACCCTTACACGATCCACTCGGACGGATTTCAGACTGGGATGGCCATTGATACTTCAGCCAACTGGCAGAGGTTATCGTTGTTCTCGGTGCACGGGCGTCCTCCGCACCATACGCACGGCTGCCCCTGAACTTTGAAACCTGCCACTCTCACATACGGCCGGCCATCGGTACCTAGGCTGCGTGACACACGCAACCGCCGCCCTCCTTCCACCTGCAGGCAAGAAGCTGGACAAGCACGTGTCGGCGTCCTCGATTTCAAAAGCGCAAAATGCCAGGACTGCAGGCGCAGTCAAGACACCAATTCAATGCATCTCCACCTCATGCCTACTCGTTGGAGCCCTCATCCCTCTGCTTCATTCTAGATTCCTCCAACTGAGTCATGCTCAAATCCTGGTACCGAAATGGTGAACCCAGAACCACGCTTCAAGAAGTAAAAAGGCGAATATCCGCACCCATCTATAGCAAGGAGACTCTCCCTTGCTAACCTTCATCTACCCGAATCGGTTGTGAGCACGTGGTTCACTTTATGGGGCATTGTACTTCTAGGTCAGTGGGTAATATCCATGGTAATAATCCACTTGGCAAGCAACTGAGCCCAGGACCCGAATGTTGTTGCATCCGTTTGACTGCACCTTGAGGCAATCCAAAGTCCCAATGCTGGGCCTAGATATCTGCCAGCACCTCAGCGCAAAGCGAGAAGCGACTTTTTTTGTCCTAAAAGGGCGAGGCAGGGTACGTCAGGCAAGTGGTTAGTTAGCCTGGCTGTAACCCAGGAAAGGAGACTTGCACCTTAGAACATATAACCATGGCCTTTGTGGGTTGTAACCATGGTTATTGCCCACTTACTGAGTACAATGGCTGTGGTAGGGCTTTCCCTTTATGGCCTTCCAATCCGGTACCTTCAAAAGGACAGCGACATACCCACACCCCAAGACCTTGGACATCTGAGACCCCCGCTGGGCAACCTTGTGGTTGTCGCGTGCTGTGAAGCTGGTGAAGGCCTTGCCCTCTCCGTTGTGGAGCCAATCTTCCGGCTGGCCTCTGGCCATCCATGGCGTTTCCCACGAAACAGAAACAGCCGGCAACGCATGAGCCCGGTTAGCCCCCAGTGAACATCAATCCAACCACTCAAATAGGTTCTAAAGCGGGTGGTGAACTCAGCTACCCCATTTTGGGCATTGGCTTTGACCCAGAGACACATGTCAAGCACACGCACTAAATACGGACAAGCTGCACAAGCTGTCGCCATTGCCTGAGCCCGGTTCAAGCTGCCCGCATTCTGTGGTAGGTTCAGTCTCTCAGGTCGGTGCTGGTGCAAGGCTGTCCTCCGCACCAAACACAGGCCTTGGCTACGCGCTGATCACCACGCGCAGGCAAAAGAATGACAAACAGCTGTGCTGGCAAGAGGCTTCCCCTCCAACATTCAGGCCATCCTTCATTAACCCGTAGCGACCATCCTGGAAGGGAGAGAACGGGTGCATTCTGTTCAAAGTGCGAAGCTGCGCAACTCAAACGGAAGCGTCCTTGCTGCTCAAGCAAATGAGCTTGTCCCGAACCAGGCTGCAATCTGATACTGTTTGCAAACAGCTCTTGTCGTTGCCAGCATACCTGGAGAGATCGCAATCATGAAGTTGTCTTCCACTGCTCACCGAGCAAGAATTGCCCATCAGATTGCGAGAGTACAAAAGTGTCATCAACGCACAGCTGCAACCAGGAGTCCAATCCGGCTTCGGTTCACCCGGCTTGGCCATGGATGCAGAAGCGGGCAGAAACTCCGGACCACTTGCTCCAAGATCTGCTTCGCTGGCGTCCTTGGAGCATCACACCATGAGAGGCAAACCCCTTCCGAGCGAGCCTAACGCAACGAAGCTTCCCCAATTCCAACAAGAAAAGTCAAGATAAACAAAAAAGAAATGGCTGTGGGTCAAAGATAGGCACCCATTTTGGGAGCCCTGGTAAATGCAAACATGGACTAGAACCTGTGGGCCCTGGTGGTTTGGTTTTGACCCACACCCAAATGGGTCTTGGCCAAGCATCCAGGGTCCCAGCTGATATGGCCGTGTGCTCCGGTGCGGGTGGCTCAATTTTCAATGCGTGCGGCTTGTTTGTGCTGTTGCAGGATGCCCTGTAATACGCCACCTGGACGACATGTAGGTCATAAGCATGTCCAGCTCCGTGGATGGCAAAGTCATATGGCTCGCCTCAGATGTCTAACCTCGAAAAGAACGGCTACGCCTGCTACGCAACGTCGTGCCGAGCTGCACATGTTTGCGCTGCCACTGCCAGCGCATGATCGCCCTCCGCACCACACGCATGGCTGGCCTGCCACCTGCGCCGCATTCAAACATGCGGAATGATCGTTTTGTGCCTGCCTTTTACCTAGCATTCCATTCCTTGCAAGTGCCGGCCTTGAACCCAGCTACCTGCTCATAGGGACGGCCATCGACGCTGCCAACGCACTGTTCGAAGCTGCTGATGGCATTGCCTGAGCTCCGGCTGGCACAGCAATCCATGGAAGCAGGCAAACGAGGCTGCCACAGCCAGAGTCAGCTGAACTCAAGCATGACAGCTGGCCAAAGTCTGCATCCACAGAGGAGCACTGTGCCTAGGCACGCAAACATCCATCCCAATTGCTGCTAATATATTCTCAGCCGGCCGCAGGTGTCAGAGCTACCGCGTTGACCGCACCAAATGCTCGCCCAACTCCCTGGTCACACGATGGCAACTTTCGATGGAAAGTCTCGCGCGTGTCTTGGCTCTGCCCCGTGGTGCGGGCACCCATGGGCACCCTGTCCCGAGCGAAAACATGCACAATGCCCGCCTTTTCCAAATAGTCAAATGGAGCACAAAGGCTGTCATCACCAGTGTGGCACTGCCCTCCACCGCACCAAACGCATGGCTCACCTGCCCAGCTTTGACCAAAATGCGGCATTGCTGCATTTTGGGCTCATCATGCTCATCCCAGCCTTGAACTCTCATCCCGCCAATGGACTTGACGTCGGAGCCATCGTAGCTGCTAAGACAGGTGAGCTTACCCTGGATGGCTGCGCAGCCCTTTGGCTCCGCCTGCCAAAGTCAACAGCAAATGCATCATACTGACTATGGGGCAAGGAAAAAGCGGCAGTAATGTTTGTAAAGCATCCCATGCCCTTTGGATAATATCCAGCCTTCAAGCAGGAGGTCTCTGCTGGTCTGGTGATAGGAAATGGCGGAGTCGTCCGAAAGGGTGGCAAGTGTTGTTTCACCAAGCCACCCTCGCAGCCAGCCGTGGTCATGCCTGTGGAAGGCTAGGAGAAAAAGGGCAGGATGCATGTCACAAGCTAGCTCAATGGCCTGGAGCCAGGCTGTGATTGAAGACCTTGCAAGTGCGCGCGTGCGTGCGTCCACGCAATCCAAATGGTGACTGAGGACAAGGCCTTTCCCTTCCCCTGCACTTGCACGTTGTGCGCTTCGCATCGGTTGCCGTTGCTGTTGCAATAGCCACCGTTGCACCACACACACGGCTGACCCTGGACCTTGGCCAGAGACAGGTCAGAACAGCGCGAAACGCACAGGCACGCTCATGCAAGCCAGCCTTAAGCCCGGCGAAGACCGAATCACGGCCATCGAGGCTGGAAAGGCAACCTGAACACAAGCAACTGGCACACCCAGAGACCTGGCCTGGGCATGCGACTTGTGCTTTTAGGGCTGGGTTTTTCTGTACCGAACCAAGGCATCGGTGCATTCGGAGGCTTCCTTGATTATCGGTTCCGAGACAGCCAAGTAGCTGTACTCATCCGAGAGGGCGGGGCATCCACGCTCTGCTTTCTGCAAGCACTGTCCATCCCAGTTTGTAGGGACTGCAGTGGCTCCCGCCACCTGATCTAGGATCCACGGTCAAAAATAAAAGGCAAAACAGAGCATCAGCATTGTAGCCATATACAACGCAAGGCCTCAAAAGAGTGCTTTGCATGAAAGATGTCAAAGGCCACGCCCTCGCCATTCCTGGTCGTCACGTGTGACGTTAAGCAAAGCTCTTGCTTTTAAAAGCACATCCCTGTGACATGAGATCCGATTTCTGCCAGGCTTCATCAAGAAATCAAAAGCTCCACACGTGGACTGGTCAGCAGTTGTGCAGAGCCCGCCGCCGCACCAAACACAGGCCTCGCCGTACACCTGAGAAGCAGGGGGTGGCTGGAAAAATACACTGGGCTGTTCAAAATGGAGGGTTGGCCCATCTAAGCCACAATCACTACCGGGGAGCCACAGCAAAGGGGGCCCCCCTTGCGTAACCCAAGGTAAGGGTTCCGCCTTGAGGAACTTGATGTCCTTCACGTCACCCCAGTCCTTGCTTGCCAAGCATGCTTCTTTGCTCGTCAGGCTTTTGCAGCCAGCCGTGGCGGTCTTCAAAGGCAGTAAGTCATCTGGACCAGGTGCTGCCGGTCGCCATTCTGCCGGCTTCACTTCTATGACTGCTGGCCTGGCCAGCTCACAGCGAGCCACT